TCAACAAGACTGAGACTCTCCTGATTGGCTCCCATCTACGCCTCCGCACCTCGGGCGCTGACAGCATCACCACCCATGGTTACACACTCCATATTGCTAAGCCAGTCTGGAACCTTGACGGCTTGTTTGACCGTCAACTATCCTTTCTGCCCCCTTTCTGTGCCATGACCTGTTCTGCCTTCCCCCACCTCCACAATACTGCCCGGCTCCGCCACTGTCTAATTACGTAGGCTGCTGAAACCCTCATATACTCTTCATTACATTGAAGCTCGACTCTGCAAACTCCTTGCTTGTCGGCCTCCCCCACTCCTCCCTCCATAGGCTGCAGATCATCCAGAATTCTGCAGCCCATGTCCTTTCCCGAACCAGAATCCGTGACCTTATCATCCCCAACCTCCCGACTCCACTGACTTCCCATCACACACAGGATACAGTTCAAGATCCTGGTCCTCACCTTCAAAGGCCCCCATGGCCTTGCTCCCCCCTACCTCTGCGACATCCTAACCCTCTGCCATCCTGCGCGCTCCCTCTGCTCAGCAGGCTCCGGTCTGCTTAATGTCCCCCGCCTCGCTCGCCCCACTATTGGCGGGAGGCCTTCTGCCACTCTATCCCCACCCTCTGGAACTCCATCCTGTAGTCCCTCCACCTCGCCCCCTCCCTCGGCACCTTCAAGATCCATTTCAAGACCCTCCTCTTCGACCATGGTTTCGATCTCACTGCTTCTGCCCCTGCGCTCCACCCTCCCCAATCCTGACCCCTAGTTTCGTTCCGAAACTCTTGTCTGTCCAGCGCCTTGGGAAATCTTCCCGATGTGAAAGGCGCTATACAAATGTAATTTTGTTGTCGTTGTTCTGACTCAAAAGCAAGAGAGCTACCAAGTGAGTCAGACTGATAACAAAGGACAAAAGGGGAACAGGGTGTGTTTCTCCAAACCAGTTTGAATCACAGTAAAAACAGTTTCCCTTCAATTACACACAGATGTTGTTTCATTGCAAGTCATTTTAGGAGGTTGGGGGGGGCGAGGGGGTGGGTAGAGGTTGACAGCAAACCGAAGTCAAGATTCGTTGTTGGCTGCTGTCTAATCAGGATATCATGTGTGGGTAACAAATCCACCTGGGTCTAGATTTAATCTGTGAAATGTAGTATTTTGGAGGGTGCAGAATTTGGCAAATTTTGAAGTCCGTTTCTACAGTCCTTAAAAGAAACTTACAGAAAAACGGCTTCAAAGTTGAAGCATGCGTTGAGGAATTTGAATAAACATCTGAACAGTCTGAAATGTTATTTTAACAGATCAAAGTGGATTTTTTTTTTACCCCAGTTACCAGGTTTTAGCTTTCCTTTGTCACTGGCACATGTTGAAGAAACAAAGAGTATTTATTCAGTCTAATCTGCTCAGCATCTCACCTCCTCCTTTTATTCAGGTATCTGTCTGGCTCATTTGTAGCCAGACACTAGCTTCTGCTTCAGAAGGCTGTGGGTTCAAGCTCTGTGTCCGGACTTTGAACTGAAACTATAAACTTTCTGTCTCAAGAGTCGAGAGCGCTACCAACTAAGCCAACCTGCTTGAAGAGACGTGCTACCATCTAGTGGCTTATCCCAAAGAAATCAGGTAAATTTTTGACCGGTATTACTCTGCGTCTCCCTTTCACTCTTCACTGCACAACCAAAAAGAGACCATAGGTTTCTCAGCATATATTTTCCGCAAAAAGATGACAAAAGATAGACCGCTATTTCAGTTGAAGCTCCTCGTGCATTCGGTTCCACTCAGATCAAAATCATTCATTGACGTTCTCTTTCTGTCAGTGTAAATCAACCTCCCATGACCATCTATTGTGAGCAGACAATGAATCAAATAAGGATACAAGCCTTAATCAATGATTCATTTTCCCTCCCTACTTTACAAGAATACAGTTTTATGCCAAACCATGAGTAATCAGAAAACAACTCTTAACATTAATACTTTTTTCCCCCATACAAGACAAGTCCGGGATCAAGTATAGGGTCTATCCAAGTCAAGTGAGTCTCCTATTTTCTGTTTGCAGCAAAACTAATATCGGGATTTGCTCCTTTTTCTACACTGAGTGGCAAAACGTTTTTTCACAAATTCCCCCATTATTAATCTATTGATAATATTAGTAATAATTCTTGCATTTGACGTAGTGCTTTATAACATTGTTGGATTGTCTCCAGGGCCTTCACAGGGTTTTAACACCTACACGGAACTATTTGGTTTGGATACTCTTAAGCTTAGGGTATCAGACACCTGGCTGACCGAGAACAAAAAAAATTCTACTGTAAAGTATATTGAGGGTGCATTTTGTAGGCAGAAGCAGCAGCCCAATATATGAAGATAAATTTCCCATAAATAGCTTGGAAGCGAAACAGCTTTCGGCAATATAACATTCAACTAATTAGATGGGGTCCTGTAGTTCAGTGTTTAGAGCACTCACCTCGTAAGCAAGAGACTTGGGTTTGATTCCCGTGCAGGGCAAAACGTTGGGGGAGTTGTCTTACTCTACATGCTCTATTTACCTAGCAATAAGTAGGAACCCGGTTGTTAGTCAATTGCTTTTCCAGGGGTAATAATTCCTTCAAAAAAATATATAATAAATTGGTCACTCAATCCACGACTGTTTATGGGACACTGCTGTGTGCAATTGGCTGCTGCATTTCGCGCACAAAACATACAGTTTATTCACTTTACAGTAATATCCTGTGAAGCGTTTTGAGACGTCTAGAAGACGTGATAAGGCGCAATATCAAATGCAAGGCCTATTATTACTATTATTTTTTAGGTCTTTAAGAGTCAGTGAAAGGTGGATTAAAACTACCGACTACATTACTTGCTGTCAAAAAGTATTCTGTTTGCATTTTGCATTACAAGCAAAAGAATTTCAACACTTGCTACAAGATTTCAGTGAAGGGTGTGTAATACATGAACAAACATGTTTTGTGTTAGAACAGTCAGCAGGCAAATGAGCTGGATGAACTCCAAAAATCAAAAGCCCCAAATAAAATAATAAATAATATAATATATATCCCACTGCACATGGGTGGGGGGGGGGCTTTACTCAGAGAGCTAAGGTCACACCGTTTCTGAACCTCCCTCCCAGACCCAAGTCATTTTTTTTTTAAAAAAGCCATGGGTTTATACAGATTACAGTTTATCACTCTTCTTATATATAATAATGATAATAATCCCTGCATTTGATATAGCGCCTTATCACGTCTTTTGAGACGTCTCAAAGCGCTTCACAGAATATACCATAAAGTGAATTGGCCTCACTCCCCCGTACCTCCTAACCCTCTACCAACCTGCTCCGTCCCTCCGCTTAGCGGGCTCCGGCCTGCTTCGCGTCCCCCGCCTCGCCTGCCCCACCATTGGCGGGCGGGCCTTCAGCCACTCTTCCCCCACCCTCTGGAACTCCATCCTGCAGTCCCTCCACCTCAGCCTCTCCCTTGCCTCCTTCGTGACCCGTCTCAAGACCCTCCTCTTCGACCATGCCTTCGGTCGCACTCCTTCCCCCACCACCCCCTCACCTGCCCTCCACCCTCCTCTATACCAAGCTCGGGTACGAAACACTGATTGTCCAGCACCTTGGGACATCCTCCCAACGTGAAAGGCACTGCGCAAGTGCAATTTTATCGTTTGTTTTGACTGCATATTTTGTGGGCAAAACACGCAGCCAATTTCGCACAGCAGCGTCCCACAAACAGTTGTGGATCGAAGTGACCACTTTATTATTACGATTCTTAATTTTTTTGAAGGGATTATTATCCTCAGTAAAGCGGTCCGCCAATCGACTAACTGCTGGTCAAGCAGAGGCGTGTGGAGTAAGGAAACTTGCCCAACGTTTCTTATACCCTTGATCGAATTAGTGTCGAGATGAGGGCTGTGTAAAAGCATTCTGTTTCTTTGCCTGCTTTTCATTCTTGAAGGATTCTTGTAACAATTGCATCACATAAGGTCAACCCTTATATCATGTTACAAACACCAGAAATTCTTAGATCCTTCAAGGCCGAATGATAAAGGGAATGTAGATACAGGTCTCAACAACGTGATAAGGCGCTGTATCAAATGCTAGTATTATTATTAAATAGACGGGATATAAGAAACTTAGGCAGTCTTCCTATAAAGTACTATTAATGAGGTCCAACAGGCTTTGATTGCTGCTCATTCCAAGTTTCTTGCACTTGGAATGAGCTGAAACAGTGCCACCCCCCACAATATATTAGTATTATTAAAGTATTATTAAAGTATTGTGATTAGTATTATTAGACTGTTAGTAGTAGCATTAAAGCACTGTTATGAAGATTTTATTAAAGTATTAGCAGCTGTATTATTATATTAGTAGTAGTGTTAGACTGTTATTGATAGTGGTAATATTAGACTGTTTTAAGGTGTGTGTGTGGGGGGGGGGGGGAACAGATCAACTGAGAAACATGAGACAGATATATAGACAGTGTGTGGACACGGGGGGGGTGTGTGTGTGGAGAGTGGGGGGGGGGGGTGTAGGGGTGTGTGTGGGGGGGGGGGGTGTGATGGTGTGATGGGGGGGTTACATAATCACAGTCAAGTATGTGTGGCACTGGTGAGCGTCACAAGGGAGGGTTGGGGTGAGGGTTGAATGTCCTCTGTGATGGGTGGTCAGAGTCAGAGGCAAACTTCATCCCCATTGTCCGGCCTTTGTTCTTGGCATTTCTGCCTGAGCTGCGTGGTGTGGGAGGCGCTTCCTCACCCCCCCACCCCAACCCCCACAACCCCCCCACCCAAACCCACCCCCCAAAACCCTGCCCAGCCCAGCTCCAACCCAAACCCCAAAACCCAACCCACCCCAACCCAAACCCACCCCCAAACCCAACCCCCCCCAACCCAAACCCACCCCCAAAACCCAACCCAACCCCCAAAACCCAACCCACCCCAACCCCCAGCCTCTCCAGACACATCAACCCCATCTCCTCCCCCCCCCCAAAAAAAAAAGAAGGCTGTGAGCCCCACCATGTTACAGAAGGCTCAGAGGCAGCCCCCCCCCACCACCACCACCATCCTGGAGAAACACAAGACCTCGAGACCGCCGTCCCTGGCGGGTCTGGTCCGGGAGGCCAAGCCAAAGCCGGCGGCCAAACCAGAAGCCAAGGAAGCCCCCCCGGTCGCCGTGCTGAGGACGGGGGCGCTGGTGGTGGACATGGGCTCGGGGAGCTCCAGGGTCGGCCACGCCGGACAACCCAGACCCGGGTCCGTCACCGACGCGGTGGTGGGCTACCCCCGGGGCAAGAGCAAGAGGAGGGACGCGGTGATGGGCGCGGCCACCACGGCCGAGCCGGACCTGGCCCTGGTCAGGCCGACCAGGCAAGGCGTCGTGGTGGACTGGGAAGCGGCCGAGGACCTCCTGAGGCACGCCTTCTACCAGGAGCTCGGGGTCTGCCCGGAGGAACACGCCGTCCTGATCTCGGACCCTCCTCTCAGCCCCACCACCAACCGGGAGAAGATGGCGGAGGTGATGTTCGAGAGGTTCCACGTGCCCGCCATGCACGTGTCCTACCAGTCGGTGTTGGCCGTGTACTCCTACGGGAAGACCTCGGGTCTGGTGGTGGACTCGGGAGACGGCGCGACCCACGCCGTCCCGGTCCACGACGGCTACAACCTGCCCGACGCCATCACCCGGGTGGACCTGGCCGGCTTCGACCTGACCTCGTACCTCATCCGACTGCTCAGCGAGGCGGGCAACGCCTTCCACGAGAAAGGCAGGTACATCGTGGACGACATCAAGCAGAAGTGCTGCTACGTGGCCGTGGACCACGAGAGGGAGAGGAACCAGCTGGACCTGGTGGACTACGAGCTGCCCGACGGGCACATCATCACCATCGGGAAGGAGCGCTTCCACTGCCCCGAGGCGCTCTTCCACCCCAACCTCATGGACTCCGACCAGGAGGGCATCCAGGTGGCCGCCATCAACAGCCTGAAGCGGGTCCAACCCCAACTCAGGCAGTTGATGTTCGACAACGTGCTGCTGAGCGGAGGGTCCACCCTGTTCGAGGGCTTCTACGCGCGCTTCTGCAAGGAGATGTTCGCCCTGGTCCCCAAGGGCACCAGGACCAATGTCCACGCCGTGCCCGAGAGGAGACACGCCGTCTGGATCGGGGGCTCGATTTTGGCGTCGCTCAAAGCTTTCCAATCCATGTGGGTTCGCCGAGAGGACTATCAGGACTGCGGTCCGGCTATTGTCCACCGGAGATGCTACTGAAGGAGATGCGTCTTTGAACTGCGCGAGTTTACGCGCACGACGCACAACACACAACGCCAAACGCACACTCAACACCCAACACCAAACACACAACACCCAACGCACAGCACCCGACGCACAGCACCCAACACAACACCCAACACAACGCACAACACCAAACACACACCCAACACAACGCACAACACCCAACACCCAACACACAGCACCCAACACAACACCCAACACAACGCACAACACCAAACACACACCCAACACAACGCACAACACCAAACACCCAACACCCAACACACAGCACCCAACACAACACCCAACGCACAACACCAAACACACACCCAACACAACGCACAATACCAAACACACACCCAACACAACACTCGACGCACAACACCAAACACACACCCAACACAACGCACAACACCAAACACACACCCAACACCAAACACCCAACACCAAGCACACATACAACACACAACACCAAACACACAACACAACACCAAACACACAACACCCAACACACATACAACACACAACACCCAACACACAACACACCCAACACACATCACCAAACACACCCAATACCAAACACACAACACCCAACACCAAACACCCAACACACACACAACACCAAACACCTCCCCTCCCTCTCCCTTTCCCTTTGATTGGAGTTGAAGAAAAATAATGCTGCAGTTTTAGTGGCAAAAGAAACAGCAACCCCCCCCCCCCCAAAAACCCCAAAATAAGTAAATCAATTCATTCTGTATAAATATGCCAATAAAAGACTGGTATTTTGAGAATTTTTTATTTTTTTTTGTACAGAAAACGGTGATATTAATTAACACTGGGCTGGGAATGGAAATGAACGCATTCTGATCAAGAGTGCAGTCTGGTTTTGAGAGTCAAGTGTTTGTGTCGATTGTATCTGAATAAGCCTCGGATGTGCTATTGGAAAACCTGCAAGATTTTCTTTCTGAAATGCGCCTTAAGTTTTGTTCCTCCACTGAAACGACAGTAACGGATTGTAAGTAACATCCAAATGATGAACCGACTCATCCCTATTGCTTTGTAAGCAATTCACTTTGTGATGACAGTGTCTTTCATATCGGTTTCCGACTTTTTTCCAATTACATTCAATCCAGCAAATGAAAGCAACAATTTAATCCGTAAGGCTATGCTCTGATTGTCATATTTTCTGCTTTGGTGTGAGAGAGTGTTAAAGAAAGACAGATACGGGTGTTCTGAATCAAAAGGTTAATCGTTAGATTCCCTGAACTGCTTAAGATTTACCAGAGTTCGTATGGCTTGGTATGTTTTGCTTGGAACTATGCTCTATCCAGAAAAGGAACGAGTTTAAGTGAGTCTAAACGTATTATAACCCCATTACAATAATCTCAGATTATGATAACCTAACCCTTTTTGGTCAGCCGACAAAATAAATCTTTTATTGATTGAATATTTCTTGATTTATACCATTAAAAGTGACCGGCACTTCTAAATCAAAACACAAAACATTTATCTTGTTAGCCAGCCGAAAAAGTGGGCCATCACTGGTAGACAAGGTATAACTTGTTTTCTACTCAAGAGGTGCCAGCCTAGCTCAGGGTAGCGTGGCAACATGTCCGACTTGGAACTCATTGCCCCAAGCTCAAGTCGAAGCATAAAGCATCAGCATATTTAAGAAGAAATGGTTCATGAATGAGGGACATATAAAGGTATGGGAGAGGGGATTCAGAGGGAGTTGAGGCTGATATTGAGTATAAACACCTGCAGGCACTCATGTTTCTCTGCTGTAACGATCTATATTTAGGTAATTCTATGCATATATCCCATTTGGTCCATACAGTTGTCCCACTACTGGTTGCAGCGATACAGAGGGAGATACTAAAGGCTTAGACGGAAGATAGGGACCAGAAGTGAGAGAGCTTGATCCATTGGTAATTGAATTCCAATCCATCACAATGGCAGCCTAACCACAGGATGTGAGCTGCACTGCTGATAATAAATGTCACTTCTAATATACTTTTGCTATGATTTTATTCAGGTTCAGGAAATTGCAGCCTGATTTTTATTATTTTAAATTTTTTTAAAAAAAAATCTTGCATGCAAAAAAAAATTGCTGGCTGCACATTTATATGGAGTTTTAAATCTGAAGAGAAATAAATTAAACTTGTGGGGTAACAAGTGATCAAATGTGCTCCTCTGATAACAATACCAATCGGGCATCAATAATAGTAATGTATAGTTTGCAAAAAGTTGCAATGTGCCTATGAAAGTTTTTTTTAAAAATAAAGAAAAGAAAATCCACACATAAGATGTGGAATTTCAAGACTTATTTGGAAAGACTGCGATGGTAAAAAGTGATTAATATATGGCTAAAACCTTTGATTGATCAATTTGGTCACCACATATCTTATCTGTCCAACCAGTGACTTGCACCTTGCGCCCGTCATAATTGATGAAGTAAAGTGTGACTTTGTGATGCCCTTCAGTGTAAACAGTGAATTCAACCCATCTCAACCCTCCTACTCCCCCTGCGCTTCAAAGTTGTCATCCTAGCCATCAAAGACACACTAGGTACAGTATTTGGTGAGTTGTTCTTTGAAGACCTAGGAGAAAAATGTTGCAAAAGATCCAAAGGTCACCATCTCTCACGGTGGACAAACCTCGGCTGTCTCGACCTCCTTCAATAGCTGGCTCCATCAAAGATGTCAAAACAAAGCCAGTCGACAAGCCGGAAACGTGCAATACACAGCCCAGAATGGCAGTGATGAAAACGGGGGCGTTGGTCATTGATATGGGGTCAGGAAGCTGCAAAGTGGGTTTCGCTGGAGAACCTTCTCCCCATTCCGTGATTGGATCGGTTGTGGGCTACCCCAAGGGTAACAGCAAACGCAGGGAGTCGACCATAGGTAAAACGGTCTCAACCGAACCAGACCTGTCCCTGGTCAGGCCAACCAGACAAGGCATCATCGTGGACTGGGAAGCGGCCGAAGACCTCCTGAGGCATGCGTTTTACCTGGATCTCAGGGTCTGCCCCGAGGAACACGCCATCCTGATCTCCGACCCTCCTCTCAGCCCCACCACCAACAGAGAGAAGATCGCTGAGTTGATGTTCGAGAGGTTCAACGTTCCCGCCATGCACGTGTCCTACCAGTCAGTGCTGGCCGTGTATTCCTACGGGAAGACCTCGGGTTTGGTGGTGGACTCGGGAGATGGCGTGACCCACGCCGTCCCGGTCCACGACGGCTACAATCTGCCCGACGCCATCACCCGCATGGACCTGGCCGGTTTCGACCTGACCTCCTACCTCATCAAACTGCTCAGCGAGGCGGGCAACGCCTTCCACGAGAAAGGCAGGTACATCGTGGACGACATTAAGCAGAAATGTTGTTATGTGGCCATCGATCACGAGAAGGAGAGCAACCTGACAGAACAGGAATACCTCGTGGACTACGAGCTTCCTGATGGGCATGTCATCACTCTTGGGAAGGAAAGGCAGAAATGCCCAGAGGCTCTATTCAAACCATCTGTCATGGGGTCCAACCAAGAGGGTATCCACATAACAAGCATGAACAGTTTAACAAAGGTCCAACCCTTTGTTAGGCAGTTAATGCACGACAACATTCTGTTGAGTGGAGGGTCGACCATGTTCGATGGGTTCTACCCTCGCTTCTGCAAGGAGATCTTTTCCTTGGTCCCCAAGGACGCCAAGACCAACATTCACGCTGTCCCCGAGAGAAAGTATGCGGTCTGGATTGGTGGTTCCATCTTGGCTTCCCTGAATGCCTTCCAGTCGCTGTGGGTTCGCGAGGAAGATTACAAAGAACAAGGACCATTCATTGTGCATCGTCGGTGCTACTGAGATGAATTTACTTTTAACTTTGTGCGCTAGGATAGGTAGCCCATTTTTGGTGGTGGAAGATAAGAAAAAGACAGTTTTAAGTAAGAAATGTTAGTGCTCCGAAAGGCAATAAATGATTGGTATTTGAACAATTAGTGCATTCTTTTTTTCAACAAAATAACTTTCTCTTTGATATCAATCCTAGTTGTTATTGTTTTATCCTTTTCTTCACCATTGGGACATATGTTATTTGCATTCGATACAGTCTTGCAGTGATCATTAGTGAATAATAATCCTTGCATTTGATATAGCGCCTTATCACATTTTTGAGACATCTCAAAGCGCTTCACAGAATATACTGTAAAGTGAATTGACTGTATACTTTGTGGGCAACACACGTGGTGAATGCAGAACCATCTTCTAGAAAAGCTACAGGTGCCAAATAAATAAATAACTTAAATAACTCAAGTGGAAAAAGCATCAGTAAATGGGCCAAAAAAAAGTTCTTCCACCCCCTCGCTCGATGTCCAACCCTGCCATCGTGGAGCACTCTGAGATGCTATCTTGCATGAAACACACCATATAAATACAGGTTATAATAATATATAATCCTTGCATTTGATATAGCACCTTCTCATGTCTTTGAGACGTCTCAAGGCACTTCACAGAATATACTGTAAAGTGAATTCACTGCATATATTTTGTGAACAAAGTTGTTAGCATTTCAGAGAATCTGGAATTTGACAAACCCTTAAATACCAGGCAGTTTTCTGTTAAATTCTTTTAAGAAGCACAGCAAACGAGCTTCAAATTTAGACTGAATCCAATTACCTTTCTACACTCTGCTTCTTGGGCAGATTTGATGGCTCATTTCTTTGTTAAATGCTATGGCAGCCAACCATTGCAAGTCTTCCCTCAGGCTATAATACAAGACTGTAGAGGGCGAAATTGCACCAATTCAAGTCAGCACTTAATATCTGTTGATTTTCAATTACATGACTAAATGGATAAAAATAGAGTTACACTTAAAATACAAGGCAATATTATTACAACGGGGGGTACTTATTAAATTGATACCGAATTGGGGATTTTACTTGTTATTAAGGAAGAGATTTTATTTTTACTGAATATAAACTATTGATCATCATGAAACCTTTCTGAATTAACCCAGATCACTCCTGAGTAAAACCAGACAAAAAGGGAGGTTCTACTATTTCCAAAAATTTAATGGATTTCCCCCCACAAGCAAACAAAAAAAATCATCATACGATAAATTTGAATGGAAACAAATTGGGGTTTCAGAATACATACAAACAAAACACAGCGAGAGAGAAAGACAGATAAATATACTGTCCCCAATTCAGTTTAGGGAGGCAACACAAAAAGAAATTCACAACATACAACAAAAGAGAGAATAAATTGTTCTTAACATTGTTTTAAAAGTGAAGATAACAATTTAGCTCGCTCAATAAGTTTATGAATCCACTTGTTACTTCAAACTGGTTAGCCTGACATCTCAGCTCGACCCAATTTCCTGCACCTCCTTAACTCTATATTTTGCTGCAGTCCACCCATATCCTAACTATTACATTATTAATAATAATCTTGCATTTGATTTAGGGTCTTTCAAGTTGCGAGGACGATATTCAGAATTTTTCATCAATTCAGTTAGTTCTGCTCTTTGACAATTAAACAGGGCTTATGTTTGCCCTGTTTAGAGTAAATAAAGATTTACTATACAGTAAATCTAGCCTGGGCCCTGCTATTTCCATCCAGCGAAATTGGGATGTGACCTTTCGGGGAACCACAGCAATCATCTGTGCTCCTGCAGGTTTGGTATGTGCAGTAATCAGCTACACCGCAAGGCAGCCCAGAGATTAATAATAATCCTTGCATGTGATACAGCGCCTTATCATGTCTTCGAGACGTTTCAAAGCACTTCACAGGATATGCTGTCAAAATGAATTAACTGTAGATTTTGGAGTGTATGTCACATAGTAGTGTCCCACAAACAGTTGTGGATTGATTGACGACATTTTTTTTGGAAGGGATTATTAAACCAGGAAAGCGACACGCAAATTGACTAACAACTGGGTTCCTACTTACTGCTAGGTTCGCAGAGGCGTGTGCAGCAAGGAAACTTGCTTAACGTTTCACCTTGCTGGGAATTGAACCCAGGTCCTCTCGCTTGTGAGGTGAGTGGTCTAACAAACATGCTACAGGATTCTTTTTAAGAACAACTGATCACTGGTGCAGTACTGTTTTTTCAGCTACCTCTCTTACTGTCTTACCTCCATCACCACAAACCCAACCCCGAGAAAGCAGAACTATTAACTGTCTCTTAAAGGTGAAGTTAGAATTGTTCCCAATCACGCAGATCAGATGGCTATCAGTAATCCAAATAAAGATATGTTTACTCGCGGCCGGTTGATACGTGATGAAAGCCACACTTACAGCAAGTCGTTTAACTGTTTACCCACTTGGGAGTTGTTGTTTTTTTTAAAAAAAACTATATATCCTACTCAGTCTTTGAAGCATATCACATATTTTGCAAAGATACGCTGAACTCAGAATACCACTTGGTATTTTACATTTAAAAGCATCAACACCAAAAACAACTTACATGTATATAGTGACCTTTAGGATAGTGCCTGGGAGTGCTGCACAGCGATAGAATTGGATGCCAATGTGTTTAAGAGGAAACGTGATCCAAATACAAGGGAGAAGGGAATCGAGGGGTAGAGGTGAAGACTTAAAGAGGAAATGGAGGCTTTTGTGGAGTATGAAGCAGTGACACAGAGTAGTTGGGCCAAATGGCCTGTTTTTGTTCTGTAACATTCAATGTGATTTAAAATTGGACGCTAAAGTTCACCGCAAGATGAAAATCTCATTATGCTGATGATGGATTTGAGCAAAAAAAAATTTTTTTTAAATAATGTGTCTGCCAATGAGTTGATTGTGTAGCAATTTTAAATATATTTTGTGGTTGCTGAGTTTAGCGTTGTTAGTTCGGATGCTTAATCCTTTTCCATGACTCAACACTAGATCAGCTAGGGCTGAAACTATCAATAAAATCAGTTTTTCTTGATTGAATATTTCTTGATTCATGTCCTAAATTTAAAAATATTCAATCAAGGAAACTTATTTTATCGGCCGATCGTAAAGATTGGCCACCACTGATGTAGTCCATGTGAGGCTGTTTTTAAGAATTTGCTGAATTCTGCAACATTCTGAAATGTTAAATAGATAGAGTAAATCTAGACCTGGGTGGAATTTCCCCCCTTCCCTTTACACGTCTTACAAATCAGCTTGACAGAGTGGAAAATGTAAAAAATTAAAATGTACCAACTTCAGGTCACGTATCAGAAAGTATTTCTTCACCCAGAGGGTAAATAAAGGCCACAACAGATTCCGTGAAGGGTGGTTGAGGCCAGGATATTGGACTCATTTAAGAAACAGCTTGATGCTGTGATGGGAAGATGGTAGGGTGGATATTCTGGACAGATGGGATCAAAAAATGGTCTTCTTCATCCAAACCAATCTTGAGAATCTTTAGACATACCCAGTGAATGTTGCTGTGATCATCCAATGAATTGGTATTAATTCCCAAAAGGAAGAACCGATTCAGGTTCAGCAGATGGCCTGAGAACAATCAAGTTGGCATTATTCCAAAACGGATCAATGCCAATACAGAATTCTATCCTGGGAAAAGCAGTAGAAACTTTTAGAGACCATTTTGAGTTAAGTTTGAATATGATTTGAACTGATGATAATGGATATATGTTTCATACCGAAGAGGTTCTTTGCACCCTCCCCTTTCCCCCTACCACTCCACCACAATAACACCCCCGTCTCTAATTTTTTTTTCAAGATGCAAATTTTGATCAAAAACAAAATGATTCAATCCCCTTGGGAATCTACCACTGTAGCATGATGTCAGTTTCATATTGTGTCATCTGTAAATTCGCTGAAAATACAACAACTTGACATTTCTATAGACATCCTCCCAATGTGCAAGCACTGTCTAAATGCAATTTGCTGTTGTTGTTCACACGGGTAGTGTCTCAGCGCCCATCACAACAGTGTGGTTCAATTACAAGCTGGAAAGAGAGAGGAAGTGACTGAAGACACAATGGAAGAGGAAAGTCTTCAGGGACGATTTGAAGATGGGCAAAGAGGGGACAAAATGGAAGGATTGAGGCAAGGAGTTACCAGAGATTTGGGGCATAGTGGCTAAAAATAAAGCATTAAGGGCTAATCATGTCTCGTTCAATCTCGATTGGTAGAAAATGAAGACTTGCAAATAAGAAAGTTTATTACTGAGAAGAAAGTTAGCTAAAGACTGAAATATTACTCATTACATTTAAACATTAAAAATCTCCAGATTAGCAGATTAAAATAATTGGCATTGAACTCAAATCTGTTTTGTATCTGCCTGAAAACATGATTCACATTTAAATCAATTAATTCAATACCATTGATCAATGTTATAGATGACTATTAACAGTCTGAAATTATATGTTACCAAGAAGGGTCATTGAGGCCAGGGCAAGAGTCTATTAAAGAAAACAGCTTGATGCTCTGATGAAAGGACAATAGGTTGGGTATCCTCCCTATAATTTCAGAATAATACCATGGGATCGTTTGTGTCCACCTGAATAGGAAGATAGGAACTCAATTTAATGCTTTATCCAAAGGAGAGCACCTCCAACAATGCAGCACTCCTACAGCACTGGATTGGATGGTTAGCCAAGAGAATGAGATTCAAAGCCCGAAGCCCAACATGGGGGCTTGAACCCACAACCTTCTGACTCAGACCTCAGACATGAGAATGCTGACTGAGCCAGGCTGACCCTTGGATGCCCGATGACTTTGAGGTGCCCTCTGACCTTATAAGATCATAAATTCATTTATCTGGTGAGAACTTCACGACTGGCTGCCCACTTAGAGGAAGAACACATTATACTGTTGTGTGAACAGGAAGCCAAGAGCTCAGACTATTAAGAGGAAGAGGGGTAGCT